TGCAAACCGCCTTCTGCCCCTCTCAGAAGACACCCTCCCAGAATCCCAGAACGGCTTCCGCCCCTCCAGAGGAACCGTGGACATGATCTTCACTGCACGACAGGTCCAAGAAAAATGCAGGGAACAAAACCAACCTCTGTACATGGCATTCATCGACCTTGCAAAGGCATTCGACACAGTGAATCGCAGCGCTCTCTGGACCATCCTCCACAAAATCGGGTGCCCTAACAAATTTGTGAACATCCTGCGGCTCCTCCATGATGACATGATGGCAACAGTCTTGGACAGCAATGGCTCCCAAAGTGACCCATTTAAAGTGGAATCCGGTGTCAAACAGGGATGTGTTATTGCCCCAACTCTATTCTCCATCTTCATCGCTATGATACTTCACCTTGTTGATGGGAAGCTTCCACCGGAGTGGAAATCATCTATCGGACAGATGGCAAGCTATTCAACCTCAGCAGACTGAAAGCCAAAACCAAGGTTACAACAACATCTGTTATAGAACTCCAGTATGCTGATGACAACGTCGTCTGTGCGCATTCAGAAGAAGATCTACAAGCCACTCTAAACACCTTTGCAGAAGCATACGAGAAGCTCGGCTTGTCATTGAACATTGAAAAAACCAAGGTGCTTTTCCAGCAGGCACCAGCCAACCCCTCTCCAATGCCAGTGATACAGCTTAATGGTGTAACATTAGAAAATGTTGATCATTTCCGCTACCTTGGCAGCCACCTCTCCACCAAAGTCAACATCGACACCGAAATACAACACCGCCTGAGCTCTGCAAGTGCAGCATTTTTCCGAATGAAGCAGAGAGTGTTTGAGGACCGGGACATCCGTAGGGAGACCAAGGTGCTTGTCTATAAAGCTATTGTCCTCCCAACCCTGCTCTATGCCTGTGAGACGTGGACTGTCTACAGACGTCACATGCAGCTCCTGGAACGTTTCCATCAGCGCTGCCTCCGGAAAATCCTGCAAATCTCCTGGGAAGACAAGCGGACAAACGTCAGTGTGCTGGAAGAAGCAAAGACCACCAGCATTGAAGCGATGGTCCTCCAACATCAACTCCGCTGGGCCGGCCACGTTGTCCGGATGCCTGACCACCGTCTCCCAAAGCAGTTGCTCTACTCCGAACTTAAGAACGGAAAACGGGACGTTGGTGGACAGGAAAAGAGATTTAAAGATGGGCTCAAAGCCAACCTTAAAAACTCTGGCATAGACACTGAGAACTGGGAAGCCCTGGCCCTTGAGCGCTCCAGCTGGAGGACAGCTGTGACCAGCAGTGCTGCAGAATTTGAGGAGGCACAAGTGGAGGGTGAAAGAGTGAAACGTGCCAGGAGGAAGGCGCGTCAAGCCAACCCCAACCGGGACCACCTTCCACCTGGAAACCAATGCCCTCACTGCGGAAGAAGATGCAGAGCAAGAATAGGGCTCCACAGCCACATACGGACCCACAAGGAAATCCATAATGGAAGACCATCTTACTCGTCCAACGAGGGATCGCCTAAGTAAGTAAGTAAGTTTCAACAGCCTGGAAAACTCAACAGCAACCCAGATTTAGATTACTTTTTAACGTTCTTGTGACTTACATTTTTATTTATGTCAATGCAATTCCCCTAGTTCGGAATAAAAAGCAACTTAAAGATTTACCATATAGTAAAGTTAAAAGCATTATTAAATTACACAGTCCAACAAAAAACCTCACAACCTCTGAGGATGCCTGCCATAGATGCAGGCGAAATGTCAGGAGAGAATGCTTCTAGGACATGACCATACAGCCTGAAAAATCTACAACAACCCAGTGATTCCAGCCATTAAAGCCTTCGACAATACATTCAACAAAAAATATATTGGTGTCTTGGTTTTTAAGCCTATTCCTGGACTTATTTGAGGTGCTGATTCAGAAAAATGCATTTGATATACTGCATCAGCTCTAGCTTCTAGATACGGTGATCATGATTTTCTATGGGCAAGCAGATAAAGAGTGGTATGTGACATACATTCTGTATCTCAAAAACTAGAGCTGGTAGGGTGAAAGTGGTGCCACTTTTGGAATCAGCGGGTCAAATATACCCAGAAACAAGTCTAACATTTGAAGCACCAAAATATGTGTTGGGTAGTGTTATCAAAGAATCAAAACTTGCTGAAACATAAACCATTGATGAGTAAACAGCAAATAGAAACCATAGCACATTATACAGTACAAGGCCCTTTTCTCGTGAACAGTCTTCCAATGGCTGCTGAAATAAAAATAAGTTGTTACTACTCTGTGGAAAGATAGCAAAAGAAGTGCCAGACTAATCTCTTTGGGAAGGGAATCCCAGAGGCCATGGGGAGGCACCAGAAAGACCTTTATTCCTACCAGATGTATTTGTGAGAGTGGGTCACAGAGAAGGACAGAGAGAAGAGCTTCCCTGCCAGGTTTATGTGAGATAATACAATTCTTCAAATTGTAATTGTATGTTTGAGTTGATTTTTTAATGAAAGGGTGAGATATAACAAACACAGAGTCAGTGAATTAAATTATAAATAAGTGCCAGTCTGATGAAATTGCTAGTTTGATTGGAGTGCTAAAATTTGTATTGGGTCCAGTGCAGCAAGATAACATCCTGGGACACTGTACCACGGTGACCTTCTTTTTTGAACTTGAGTGTTGTGCTGGGAGAATAATTGATTTTCACAAATTACAATAGCTTCACAAAATGACATGCATTGGTTGAGAGAAAAGCTCTTATCTCCCATCGCCAGTAATATTATGTGCGGCACAGCTATTCGGTTGTTCCTCCACATAACCTTTAAAAGTTCAGTGGCTGCAATATATAAGATGTGCAGCTCAGTCCTTGTGCAAGGTGTTTGTTGAATGCTCTGTGTAGGGATGAGCAACTACCCAACACTGAAAATAATTTTGTTTTTGTCATTTTTAATTACTCAAAATGCTCCCTTCTATGGAATGTGAAGACAATTTTGAATGCTTTATAAGGTAAAGGTAGTCCCCTGACATTAAGTCCAGTCATGTCTGACTCTGGGGTGTGGTGCTCATCTCCATTTCTAAGCCGAAGAGCCAGCGTTGTCCGTAGACACCTCCAAGGTCATGTGGCCGGCATGACTGCATGGAGCGCCGTTACCTTCCCGCCGGAGCGGTACCTATTGATCTACTCACATTTGCATGTTTTCGAACTGCTAGGTTGGCAGAAGCTAGGGCTGACAGCGGAAGCTCACGCCGCTCCCCGGAATCGAACCTGTGACCTTTCGATCAACAAGCTTAGCAGCTCAGTGCTTTAACCCACTGCGCCACCGGGGGCTCCTGCTTTATACTTATTGTTATTTGCTTTATACTTATTGTTATTTCTTCTTATGCTGTCTTTTTGCGGTTTAGGACTGATGAGGTCTACAGCAGTAAAAAACAAGCATAGTTTAAACATTAATAACATACAACAGTTGAAAAAAATGTATATCTAAAAAATAATAGTGTTTGGAAAGTACTCATGGTATTCATTTCTCCTAGCTAAGTAAACAATAGTTGACATTAGATTTGCCTACACCAGAGCTCCCAATGCTGCAGCAGGTTTAACTGCTGAGCTACTGAACTTGCTGACCAAAAGGTCAGTGATTCGAATTCAGGAAGTGGGGTGAATTCCTGCTGTTAGCCCCAACTTCTGCCAACCAAGGTAAAGGTTTTCCCCTGACATTAACTCCATTCATGTCCAACTCTGGGGGTTGGTGTTCATCTCCATTTCTAAGTTGAAGAGCTGGCATTCTCCATAGACACCTCTAAGGTCATGTGGTCAGCATGACAACATGGAGCCCATTAACTTCCCACCAGAGCAGTACCTATTGATATACTCACATTTGCATGGTTGGCAGAAGCTGGGGCTAACAGCAGGAGCTCACACTGCTCCCCAGATTAGAACCTGCGACCTTTCAGTCAGCAAGTTCAGCAGCTCAGCACTTTAATCCATTGGCCACCGGGGGCTCTTCTACCAACCTAGTAGTTCAAAAACTTGCAAATGTGAGTAGATCAATAGGTACCACTCCAACAGAAAGGTAACGGCGCTCCATGCAGTCATGCCAGCCACATGACCTTGGAAGCATCTACGGATAATGCCAACTCTTTGGCTTAGAAATTGAGATGAGCACCACCCCCAGAGTTGGAGATAACTAGACTTAATGTCAAGGAGAAACCTTTACCTTTTTATTGCCTAGTTAGATAAGATATATTAGTAGCATCTTTGTACCATATTTCAAAGAAGAATGCTATGTTTAATGGATGTTTCTGCTTCTTTTCTGAACTTCAGTATAAAGAAGGGAAGAAGCTGAAGCCCAAGCCAAACTACAACAGTGTTGACCTTTCTGAGGTGGAATGGGAAGATGTGGATGAAACTGTGAGTGTCTAAAGTAGAGTAGCAGAGTTTTGTCAAAAGGTGTAATGGGAATAGGGCCATATTCTCAAGCTGTTCCACTTTGGTAAGAACAGTTAATTAATTTTTGGTATCCCATTTTTTCAACTGTTTTAAAAATGTCCCAGTTTCTTTCTCCCCCTCCTCCCACTTTTGTCTTTTATCTTCAGTCTACTCAATTTGCTTCAACTTGAGTTCAAAGTGCGAAAGGAGTTTGCACTCAGTTCGCTCAGCAGGAGAGGAGGAGGCAGACCCGACCTTCCCTGGACACGGCCCACATGCCTCCTGCTGAGACTTTCATTGTGATTTATGTCGACACCCAGACTTCTCTCCCACATCCTAATTTTGCCATCACTGAATTCTTTCAAAAGTTACACTCCAATAGGCTACTGCTTAGATGTTTCACAGGCTTGAAGGAGCATATCTTTCTCAGGCATTAAGCTGTTTGGAAGTGACTCTTCCAGAGTGCAGACCTCTCCGTGTAAATTACTTTTTCCAGCTGCCAAATAGGTCTGTAGGGAGTATTGCAGACATGGAACACATGGACATATACACATGCTGTCTTGCCCATGAAAATTGTGCTCCACCAGCCTACCAGACAACTGCTTTGCAAGCTGGAGAGGGCAGTTTACATGCAACATATTGAGACTGGTTGGTTAATAATTCCTCTTCATCATGAGGGTGTATTTGTGTATGGGACAGAAAAAGAGACATATGGACTAGATGCATATGGGGAATGTATATGAAGTGTGTATGAATTTGAGAAAAGCTCTGGAAGGCAACAGGTATCACAATCCAGCCAACTACCATCTTAGACTGTCCACCATTAACTCTAACCACATCTATCAGCAAATCATAATTGCTTGTATCTTAAATCTGCTACGTGTTTCAGGACACTTGAAGACATTAATGGTAATGTTATATTCCCTTGGCAGCTACGGACAGCAATGATCAATGGAGAAACAGGTTACCTCGCAATGGATGTGAAAGTGCCGGTAGATAAAGGAGTGAGTATTCATACCTTTGTATGTTGTCCTGTCTGCCTTTGGATCCACTCCACTTGGACAGAATAGAAGCAAAATCACAGAAAATTGAAAAATAGCAATTAATAATAAACTATATGTGTATTAAATTTTCAAAACCCATAATTAATTTTTTAATTCTTATATATCAAGCAGAAATGAGTCAATGACTGCAGTACACCAAAATATCACAGCATTGTAAGAAAATGCTTGGGTTCTTTGCTTCTCCTGGACCAGATATATTTGGATTAATCACTTTTGATTAATCCAAATATTAATCCAAATATTAATTAAGTTGTAGTAGCAGGACTTTCTGGACCAAGAACCAATAACAGCTTCCCTCTAACTTTTGAAAAAATATACAGACTAGTAGTTACATGGTCATTTTTGTAGCTCTAATCAGAACACACAAGTTCTGGAAATTAATTTTAGGTGGTGCGCAGTGAGAGAATTTGGTAACTATAGCATACAGAATATGCAGATATGAATTGTTAACTATCTTCAAACTGACTGTGATTTATGGCAATTTATGAATGAGAGACCTGCAAATCACCGTATCTTCAGCAACCCTGCTGAAGTCTTGCAGACTATTGCTTCCCTGATCGAATCTATCAATCTGTAATGTGGCCTTCTCCTTTTCCTACTTCCTTCCAGTCCTTTCTAGTCATCTCTTCCCATGATATGGCCAAAGTCTCAGTTTAGTTACCTTGGCTTCTTGGGAGAGTTCAGTTTTTTCCCCTAGGACCCATTTATTTGTCTTTTTAGTGGTCTTCGGTATCTATGAGTGGCACTCTTAACATTTTGCAAGGATAGACTCTGATAGGTGCTTTTTGGCTGTGCAAATCAACACTTCAGAGTCAAATTGGATGGCTAGGTCCTTCTCTGTTTTATTGAATGAATGGATGTATGAATGAACAAACAAACTCTTCTATATTGTAAGATGACCTTTGAGGGTGCATTTTATTGTTTTTTTAAAAAAAATCTGTTCATCAAAACACCTTCAGTGACATGATTCCTACACCACCAACCAACCCATTTTTCTGTTGAACTGAAATAGCTGTTGCACAGTTCTTCTGCTGCAGTAGTTTAAGAATTATTCCTCACACAGCTCCCTAAACGCAGTGCAATGTTTCATTTCTAATTGCTGCGTGACATTTGTAGACATCTAATTAGCTCTCTCCCATACCTACCATCAGGTCTCTGCCTCTGTCTGCAATATTGTTCTTCAGGGTTTTCTTTCTCGTTATGAAATGTGTTTTAGATAATGTTTTAAAAATCCACTTTAAAAACTGGATTTCTCTTGGCTGGAAAAAGCCAGTTTTTGTTAAGAGAGCTGAAAAATGGTTCAAGGAGAGAGGTCAGTTTTTATTGTCTTATATACACACTTTTTATTTCTCCCTCTCATACCTCTGCTTAAGCAGACCTTGCTGGTTATGAAAGCAATACATAAGATTGTAATGCCTGTTGAATCAGAGGTCAAGATTAGAAAAGTGTATACGTAACACAATCAGCAACTCTCTTTTAGCGTGTCTACAGCTCTCTTAAAAAGGCCAACAGTCTGAACTACTATATATATTCACGTCAGGCATGTAGCCGGGGGGGGGGGGCTTTGAGGGCTTCAGCCCCCCCCCAATCAAAATCCTGGCTACAGGCCTGATTCACATATAAGTCTACCTCATGTATAAACAGGGGCGGCTCAACCATTACGCAAAGTAAGCACTTGCAGTATAGTTGATTTTGCCCAGGGGCGCTCTTGAGGCACTCTTGGGGGAAAATTGACCTTGACATATGCAAGTTGTAGTTACTGGGATGTATAGTTCAAATCAAAGAGCATTCTAAACTCCACCAATGATGGAATGGAACCAAATACGGCACACAGAACTTCCATGACGAGCAGAAAATATATATCAGTGATTGGTGGGGGGGGGGGGTGCCAAAATACTGTTTACTTACCATTGAAAATTACCTAGGGCCACCTCTGTGTATAAATCAAAGGTAGGTTTGGGGGCCAAAGTTATGGACTTTGAATCGTTATGTCAAGAAAGGAATAAAACAATGCCACTTCGGAGGAATGGCCACCCCTGGCTGCCCCCACCATTTATCTTCGCAGGTTTTCAAAAAGGCAATTTAAACAGAGGCTGGATGGCCATCTGTCGGGGGTGCTTTGAATGTAGTTTCCTGCTTCTTGGCGGGGGTTGGACTGGATGGCTCACAAGGTCTCTTCCAACTCTTTGATTCTATGAAGAAGTGGAACCATGTCAGAAAGAATATAAGGAGCAGGTGCTTCTATTATTATTATTATTATTATTATTATTATTATTATTATTATTATTATTATTATTATTATTATTGGCCTCCTGGGATGGACTACACTCTTTCCTTTCACCATTGCACTCAGGGAAGCGGCTGAGGGGGAAAACGCCCCTTCTTTTCCCCCCTCAGCCGCTTAAGCCTGAGGCTGTTACGAGTTGTGGGAGTTGAAGTCCAAAAAACCTGGAGGACCAAGTTTGCCCATGCCTGCTATAGAGAATAGTCTTTTTTGCCCACACCCCACTACTGTTTTCTTTTGGGAGAGTGACATGCATTTCTTTCCAATTCTGCATGGATTTAATTAGCTAACTCTATATGCCTCTTCTCTCCCAGATAATAATGAAATTTATTTTAAAGGTTAGCCATGAATCCCAAAGGAGATCCTTATTATTCCTGACTTGTATTCCCTTTCTCCCCCACATATACAAATACTTCAACTTTGTTTGCTTTCACTTTATGCTTTTTGCAGATCTTCCAACTTTCACATATGCAAAAGCTTAACTGACCTCTTCACCTACATTAATTATAGTTATTAATTAATATTGAGATTTTGAGAAGGCAGATCAAATCCTCTGTGTAATTCCAGCCTTAACTAAATAAGTATGCCTCATACTTAATAATGGTTTTTAGGAAAGATAATAATAGAAAAATATGGAATTGGTTAATGTACTTGTATTTATAGTTTTTATTGTATAGGCATTGAATTTGTCTTTTGCTGTTGGAATCTGCCCTGAGTCCCTTTGGGGAGCTAGGGCGGAATACAAATAGTTATTTAATTTTTATTTATGTATTAAAGTCCTTTCCTTCTTTAATAGTAAGCAAAATATTATGAACCATATTACTATTGTATCCCTTGGTTTGCCATTATGATATCTAGCAAAAAAGTTACTCAGAAAAAAATTAACATAAAAATAAATTATGGAATAATTATTTTTCACTCCCTGTAAAACAGAAATTTAATATTTTTGAGCAATATAAAAAAAATCATGCTTAGTCCAAAATTCTTTTAGCAAATATGAAAATTAAGGTGCAAAAATTATTCATTCATCATTACTGGAATGTCTATGGTACCTTTCAGGACAAAAGAGGCATTTACAAGATAGCTGGCGTACAGAATTGATATACCATTCGTATGATTACAGAACTAAAGGAGCAGTCTAAAAGACTTTCTATATTTTTCTGGCTTCCCCATCTGCTTTATTTTGATTATTTTAACATACAATGTCTCCCCGCTTCCTTTTAGTATTAGTTCTCTTCAGACCCATTTTTGCTTCACAGCAACCCAATGAGAATTCAGTGAACCTTCAAGTTACCTTAGATTCATAGAGTTGGAAGGGGCCTTATGGACTGTTGAGTTCAGCATACCGCTCAATGTAGGACATACAGCTAAAGCATTCCCAGCAGATAGCTATGGCAACTACATGAATTCCATAGAGTTTTCTTAGAGAAAGACTATTCATATGTGCTTTTAGCAGTTCTTCCCTCTGAAATATAGCCCACAGCACCTGGAATTCATTCGCAGTCAACCATCAAAATACTAACCAAGGTTGACCTTGTTTAGCTTCTAAAAATACACAGGATCTCTATTTAGGTAAGACTGAATGAAATTGGTTAAGAGGCAGTAATTTTTCCCAAAACAGAAATCCAAATTCACAACTCCAGGTTTTAAACATCTTAGTGAGAAGACAACCAAATCCAAGCCAGGGGCAGTCTGCTTGATATTCTGCTCATATCTGTGCTTCACATCTGACATAATTCCAGAGTATCTACAGAATAGACTTTTTCATAGAATCATAGAGTTGGAAGTGACCTTGTGGACCAACCAATCCAACTCCCTGCCAAGAAGCAGGGAAATCACATTCAAAGCACCCCTGACAGATGGCCATCCAGTCTCTGTTTAAATGCCTCCAAAGAAGGAGCCTCCACCACACTCCCAGGCAGAGAGTTCCACTGCTGAACAACTCTCCCAGTGAGGAAGGGCTTCCTAATGTTCAGGTGGAATCTCCTTTCCTGCAGTTTGAAGCCATTGTTCCACATCCTAGTCTCAGAACAGCAGAAAGCAACTTGCTCCATCCTCCCTATAACTTCCTCTCACATATTTATATGTGGCCATCATGTCTCCTCTCAGTCTCATCTTCTGCAGGTGTTGTTTTCTCTTTTATCACAAGTTCATTATTATTATTATTATTATTATTATTATTATTATTATATTATTATTCTGGTTTTTTTAAAATGTTGTATTTGAGTTGTGCATTGAATGGTTGTCTTTTTTGTGCGTAAACCGCCCAGAGTCCCCTTTGGGAGAGAGGGCGGTTTATAAATATAGTTGTTGTTGTTGTTGTTGTTGTTGTTGTTGTTGTTGTTATTACTACTACTACTACTATTAACATGCCCAGCTCTTTAAGCCGCTCCTCATAGAGCTTGTTCTCTAGACTCTTGATCATTTTAGTCGCCCTCCTTTGGCCACATTCCAGCTTGTCAACACCTCCCTTAAATTGCACTACCTAGAACTGGACACAGTATTCCAGTTGTGGTTTTGAGACTATGGATATAACCTGGGACAGTCCCGTTATGATCTGCCTTTCTACATTCCTCTGCTTACTCAAGCTTAGATTTCATTAAGAAAACTTATAAGAACATTTCAATCCAGCAGATGTTATAGGGAATCTTTATTATTCTCAGTTCTCAATAATTGAGCTATAGCAAATATATATTATCTCTGCTGGCTGCTCTTGTATCGCTTTCATGCTGTTTTAGAAGAAGGTTTCAGTATGTGTTTTTCTTGTTGTGGCTTTATTGGTATTTGTGAAATATATGCTGTGCGGCAGGGTAGAGATCCCAGAAGACATAAAATATTAATAGTGATCAAAATGCAATAAGCAGAATCAAATCGACTTGTGGCTGTAGGTGAGGCCAGGCCTTTCCAACTCGGCAGGGTGGAAATGGGGGAACCAGCCGATGAGTATGGGAGCGCGCACACAGAGTTGTCCCTTGGGGGCTATTGGGCTGGCCCTCCTTGGCCAGTCAGTGAAGTTAGCCGAGATATTTTTGAAATGCTCAGCTGGCAGCCAGGTTACAAATCTGCCCTGCAGCAGCAAGCTGTCTTTGTGAAGCATGGCTGCTCTTGCCTCGAGTCCCCTTGATGCCTGCTGTCACCGTGCCAGATGGATTTCCAGAGCGCTGCAGATTAGTGCTTTATGGACAGAAGGAAGGGTAGCAATAGGGTGAGGGGGAAAGCAGCCTCATGTGACTGCAGCAGGAATGGGAACGAGCCACAAGGACAGACCGTCGTCCTGCTGTCTGCCACCTTCTCTTCTGTGTCTTCAGCCAACCCCACCTGTGCTCCATCTTGCCCAGCTGCTGAGTGAGCAGCTCTGCTTCAGCCAAGTTACTTGGGAGTGCAACATTTGAGGCATTAGAGCAGAGCCAAGGGATATTTCATCCAGGCGTATTGGTGTCAGCTGGTTTTTCCTTTCTAAGCCTTCCTATTTCTCCAATGAGGAGGGTGCTGCTAGTGAACTAGAGATTGTTTCGGGATAGTTTCTTATCACCACAGGTATTCTTACAAGGAAAGATCTCTTCAGTGAGTTATATATTCCATTTGGGTATATTTGATAGTACAAATATATCTCCTTGAATTGCTGTGCATAATATTGAGCTCCCCCCCCCTCCCCACCTCTTCCCACCTGCCACCTGCTAATCCTTCCCTGCAGACAAAAAAAAATCACCTTGGGAGAAAATGATGGATTGATAGATAGCAGAGAGCTTGTCTGTTGGTGAGGGACAAAAGGTCTCCTTGAACAAGAAATATCTCTTCCTGCAAGGACAAATGCATTGTCTGCATTGACTGCATAGTTTCTACTTGGAAGAGAAGCTTGTTCAGGCCGCTTCTGTTTTTGCTGTGGCCCTTCACCTCAGCCTCCTCCTCTGCACACACACACACACACACAAACACACTTTCCAGAGAGAGTTGTTTCTCTTCTTTAGGAAGCGATTAGTAGGCAGGGGAGGACTGGCTTTGCATCCCTTGAGCCGTAAAGATGAAAGCTCTGAAAACTCCCTCAAGAAATAATTGATTTTAACATCCAGTGTGGTCTTGAGTTTTGTCACCCACACATTTCTCAATTTTTCATTCTCACATTCTTACACTCCTTATAATATTATCCTAATTATTTGATCTTTCAGCATAGCTGTTCCTCTTGTTTATCTGCTATTGTGGCCCAGATAGGAGACATCCATGATATGTATAACATCAGCTGCTTTGAATGGCTGTAGACTATGTATTTGAGTGTTAAGGATTACTATAAAAACTTCAGAGTTCAAATTATGTTCATTGAACTGCCTGTACATATATTGATATTTCCCTCTGGGCTTTCAGATGGTGCCTTCCTGGTGCTGATTCTTTGAAGCTGTTTCTATAAACCAAAGGAAGATGACACATGGTGTTGCTGTGATATGTGCTGAAAATGTACCAAGTCATCTTTCATACATAATAAAATACATGCATTTTGAATAAGACTGTCTTGTGAGATAATCTGAAAAGTATCTGATGCACTTTAAAGGCAGACGCAAATAGTATTTCAAAATATATAATACAAAAATGTACAACAAATAGCTAGAAGGTACTGTCCAAAGAGACATTTCCACTTTCTTTTCTCATGCAAGATGATGTTTGTGTGCGACATGTTTGTGTATCATCTAGGACAGGCATGGGCAAACTTCAGTCCTCCAGGTGTTTTGGACTGCAACTCTCACAATTCCTAACAGCCTACTGGCTGTTAGGAATTGTGGGAGTTGCAGTCCAAAACACCTGGAGGACTGAAGTTTGCCCATGCCTGATCTAGGAGCTATATAAAGCACATAATGCTTTCATTTGGCATGGATCCTTGGCTTGCCATTTGCAGCATGCAATGGGGAAGAATAGGAGTCTATACTTTTTATCTGGCACTGCAGCTTTTTCCAAGGTCCTCTGCTATGGGGCAAATGACTGTGCCATGGTTTCCTCAAGTGCTGCCAAGTCAGGAGCTGACTGGGGCCAGTCAGGGTCAGGCCTCCCCAGATGGATGACCGAAAGAAGAATCTACTTAAGGAATATAAAAGTGCTCCTAGCTGTGCAGCTGGCATATTTGTTTGTGTTGTCTTAAATACAGGCTTAGTAAATTAATATCTTAAAATGTATGCAGTTAATTGACTACGGATGCAGATTTGGATAAATTTACCGCATTCCTGCCTAGAACTAAATCTTCCCAAACTCAATAGGACTTAATTCTATATAAACATGTAAAAGTTGTTTATCTAGTAAGACTTCTTTAAACGTTGAGGTTGTTACCCATATGATGGGATTAACTAGTGCATGTGCCATGACTTCTAAATTCAGCTCCCATCTGGTGTGGAAAATGCAAACTCTCTACATGGATGTTCTGATATGTACATTCCACTTTTTAGATGTGCAAATATGCCCTTTGGAAGATGCCAGCTGTCCCTTGAGATCTACTACTTGGACATGATCAGCAATGTCATTCAAGGGACAAACCTCTTTTTTGCTTCTGACTGTACTACGCACAGCTGCACTGCCTGTGTATTTGTAAAAGAATAATAATAATAATAATAATAATAATAATAATAATAATAATAATCTTTGTACCCCGCCACCATCTCCCCATGGGACTCGGTGTGGCTTACATGAGGCCAAGCCCAAAACAACAATTACATAAAATAAAACAAACCCAAAAACACAAGCACGGCTGGCGGGGACGAGAGACAGGGCCTTCTCAGTGGTGGCCCCTCGGCTGTGGAACGCCCTTCCCGCAGACATTAGATCGGCCCCCTCCCTGCTGGCATTCAGGAGAAGAGTGAAGACTTGGCTCTTTGAACAGGCATTTAATTAAGCAGTGCAATTAATTGATTGATCATGGAACATGGAATAATGGACAAGGAGATCGGATTATGACTTTGCTGATGAGACGTGATGGATTAGTTATATGGATGTATTGATGTTATATTGATGTATTGATGTATTGTTATATTGATGTAGTTGCCTTGGTTACTGTTTTAAATGCTAATGTTGTGCACTTTGTATACTGACTTGGTTGTAAACCGCTCTGAGTCACCTACGGGCTGAGAGAGAGCGGTATACAAATGAAGTAAATAAATAAATAAATAATGAACAATAATAACGCAATTACATAAAAGACAACATAACAATATATGATTACAATAAGAATCTAGCCTTTCTCTTAATTTGCAATGTAGTGTTCCTTTTAGAAAGTATTTATTTACTTACTATATTTATATTCCGCCTTTCTCGACGCCGAGTGGGACTCAAGGAGGTTACAGCATAGGCAAAAATCCAATGCCTTAAAACAATATACCTCCAATATACAATTAAATAAATATTTCAGTTAAAAAAATAAATGAGATTAAGAGAATTAAAACTTATAAAACATTGCAATCCCAACTATAAAACCAGTGACTTACAGAATTTTTTATTATTTTTCTGTTTTTCCCAGAAACGGGTTCTCTTCCTCACTAATGACTATTTCTATACGGATATCAGTGACACACCCTTTAGGTAAGTAAGCAGACCCTTTGGAGAAGGGTCTATGGAATTATTTCTTAAGGGAGCTGATATTGGCTTTGAGGGGTTGGCTTAATTCAAGTGAAAAACACACATTCAGTAGAGTTTCACTTATCTGACATAAACAGGCTGGCAGAATGTCGGATAAATTAAAATATTGGATAATACGGAGCCTCCTATTGTTACCTGCCCGACGTGGCGCTAGGCACCTTGAATACTAACAACAGGGACACAAAGAGTTAAGGCAAGGCAATGCCTCAAGGCTAGAGCAGCCCAGCAGAAAGTGTCCAAATGCAGAAGAGGAGTGAGGATATCACAGAAGAAAGACAGGAGGATGCTTCCGCTTCCAGCCCTGCCTCTTTTCCCCCTTTTCTCTCTCCTCCTCCTCGTTCTTTTGCCTTTTCCCTTATTGGGAATGGAGAGAGAGTTGGAATGGAGAGAGGGTTTCCCCTTTAATTGAAGGGGAAAAGCTGGAGGGAAAGGGGGCATCGCATAAGAGCATCAGATAGGACAGAATGTTGGATAAGTGAAGGTCAGATAAGCGAGTCTCTACTGTATATGTGAATCAACAAGGTAGTCATTACCAACCAACTACGGCTCCTCACTCTATTATAACCTTGGTGAATAAGTAACACTATGAAAGTTTACCTTCCCCTGATGTCTGCTTCATATATGAGAAATCTGTGCTTCTCCTTCCCAAGCGAGATCTGGGCAATAATGTGTGGGTTTTCTTATCACAATTCTGTGAGTAGTAGGGCTGCCAGTAGTGGAACAATGCACTTGCAAAAAAGGGAAGAGTGACTGTTACTAGCACTGCCATGTGTTTCCATGGGGACAGATTTAGACCACTTTCCCCCAAGTCCTCACTACTTCTGCTCAGTTTATGTGATGCATTTCTCTCCCTCCCTAGTACAACCTGTCCGCCTACTGAGATGATCATCTTATTTATCTGGCATTCAGAGGGTTGGTAAATTATGCTCTGGGAGATGATGTCATTGTCCCTGCTGTGAAAAATAAAAGTAATTCTCCGTTTGTGCCACTCCATAGTATACTCGTTGTATTTATGTGTAGCCAGTAAAAGGGTTATTGGGCACATGGGACTACAAATAGAAGCCAAAACGCAACAGCAACATGGAAGAATAATATGCAATTTCAAATTATTCCTCTCCTTTGGCATCTAGGAGATTAGTACTATGAGTCTAGGCATTAATATCAGACTAGGATCTTAGCTGAGATTTAACTTTGAGGAGGCCTTTTAAAACATAACTGCTAATTCCCTCTATATAGTATGGATCAATATAAAGGCCGTCTTGGGTAGAAAATCTGTGGATGGGCAGATTTGAGTTCCAGGATGTCTAATTAAAAAAATAAAACACTTTCCAGATTGTGTTGAATAGCAACAAGGAACCATCTGCATGTCATATGAGTTCTTGAATGAACACATGAGAAATACACTTCAATTGTTAAATGTTAATGTTTCTTACAATAGTTTCAATATGTCATGTAGGTCTTTGTAGGTCTACTCACTAGAAAATATTTTCCTCCAAACCACAGTCTGGGCGTTGTTCTCTCACGAGGGCACGGTGAATACATCCTGCTTGGGAACACTTCAGTGGAAGAAGGTATGTTGAACTGACACAGTTTCATCAAGCAGTGGCGTGTGAGAAAAGGGGGAGCATTTCTTTGTTACAGCACACTTGGGTTTAATTATATTCCAGTTTGCTCTTTGTCACTATCTCCACAGCTTTCTGAAGTATTTATTTCCTTATTTTAATTAGTGGCTTGACAACAGAAACAGATCCTGCTAAATACCCAAAGCTTGATTCATATATACTTTGGGAAAGCTGTGTGTGTTTAAGTGTGAGTAAAATATAGACATGAATCTAAAACATGGGAGTTTTTAGAGACATTTCCCATATCTCTAAAATGGTATGAGCTTGACCTCCACCCAAATGTCTGGCCAAGATTGGTTAGGATAGTCTTGTACTGACTATGGTCCTTTTGCAAGTGATCTGTAAGAGCAAAGCTTCTTAAACACTCAGTTCTTGTGGGTTTTTTCGGGCTATATGGCCATGTTCTAGAGGCATTTCTCCTGACGTTTCACCTGCATCTATGGCAAGCGTCCTCAGAGGTGACCTCACCTCTGAGGATGCTTGCCATAGATGCAGGCGAAACGTCAGGAGAAATGCCTCTAGAACATGGCCATATAGCCCGAAAAAACTCACAAGAACTGAGTGATTCCAGCCATGAAAGCCTTCGACAATACGCTTCTTAAACAGTTTGGACTTTTGCTTCTGAATTTTCTCTACAATTCGAATTTCTCTTCTAAGGCTTACAACAACAATATGTTCCATAGATGAGTGGCTACTCTTATGCATAGGCTCAAATGAACACTTCTGGAATGTGAAGTACCTGAGTTCCCATTGGAGATATATAGTGGGATACAAATAGATTATTAGTAGTAGCAGTCCACAGCAAACAATGTCACTATGCTGGCTTTTGCATTGGATCACACGTCGGGCACCTCCCAGGTGTCTATGACTGTGTGATGTATCAGTGAATAATATGTGCAGATCCAAGTAGGGTGGCCTTTTGCAGCTGAGGGATGGTAATTTTGTCAGCTCCAATTGTTTTTAAGTGCAGGCCAAGGTCTTTAGGCACTGTACCCAGTGTGCTTATTATTATTATTATTATTATTATTATTATTATTATTATTATTATTATACCAGCTATTTAGCTACTTCAGTCAGTTTGTTAACCATCAGAGGAGAGATAGACTTGTACATAGAATTATAGAATCATAGAGTTGGAGGAGACCTCATGAACCATCCAGTTCAACCCCCTGCCAATAATCAGGAAAGTTGCATTCAAAACACTCCCGACAGACGGCCATCCAGCCTCTGTTTAAAAGTTTCCAAAGAAGGAGCCTCCACTACACTCCGGGGCAGAGAGTTCCACTGCTGAACAAATCTGAAACCAAACAAAAGAGCTTTCATCAGGAAAAAATAGCCCACTTTCTTAACCTTGTTCTTCTTCTTTAAAAAAAACCAGATTTACTGATGAACATGTGTGTGTGTTTTTAAAAAAGGGTGTTTTCTCATATCTCATGCATTATTTGAATATACCTTCAGCCTGAACTTGAACCTATACTGATTGAAAGTAGGAGAGGTCATCTGCCATGCCCATTCCCCCTTCCCCAGATTCAACATGAAACATGTGCAGAAATGAACAGGATCAACAAAAGTTGTGATGAAATAACTAATTACAGTATCATTTGTCATTTGACTTCAGGTTTGCATGATCTGCTGCAGCCAGATTTGACCTTGGCAAATGAGTGGTAAGTGGAGAATCTTGAAATAAAGAAAAAATGCCTGTAGTTACTGTTTGACTTTGAATGTTCTCCATTGAAAGGATCAAGAAAAAAATAGTTCAATGGTTTCCAAGAACCATCTTTAGTGACATTATTCCAGTTAAAATTTAACCATATTCAAGAAAAGGAGACATTGCATATCCCATGAAACAGTATCGAGTCTACAAAATAATTGTACTGTGCTCTCAATTTGTGTAGAGCTTACCCATTTTAGTTACTAATTCTGAAAAGTCAGCAGATGGACTTTTTTACATGTCAGGAACAACTTGAGAAACTGCAAGTCACTTCTGGTGTGAGAGAATTGGCTATCTGCAAGGACGTTGCCCAGGAGATGCCTGGATGTGTGAGATTCACTAAACCCAGTCCATCCTGTGGGAAGCTTCTCTCGTGTCCCCGCATGGGGAACTGGAGCTGACAAAGGGAGCTCAACCTGCTCTTCCCGGATTCAAACCGCCGACCTGTCGGTCAGCAATTCTGCCAGCACAAGGGTTTAACCCACTGCACCACTGGGAGCTCCAGCAGATGGACGGGGTTTAGTGAATCTCTTAGGAAGTGTTAGTACTGGTTCTTATGCTTCTTTAATTTTATTTCTTGTGTACACACACATATACAAATGCACACACAAATACAAACTGAATTGGTGTAATAAGTGATAGTTTATCTTCCTAAAACCATTCATGGAAGAAGTTTTGAAGTTTTAGTTACTTGAGTGTGCGTGATGTAATTGTCAAGATGGGACCCTACAGATCTCAACCAGTGCAACATACTTTGTTTCTGAAATGAACACTGTTGTTGTTTCAGCTGGAGTTTATTTTGGTCCCAGGCATGTAAATCTGCCAGAATAGCTCGTAGTAGTGCACAAAGGTAGCTCAAGGGAACATCTAAATCATGTTTTTTCTTCTGCTCCCTAGGATTTATTGCATTACAGATATTGATCCAGATCACAGAAAGCTGAGCCAATTGGAGGCTGTAATTCGTTTCCTTACAGGAGAAGAAGCTGACCTAGAATGTGAGTGCTGAAAAGAGTAGATATTGGCCTTTTTCCTGCTAGAGTCTTTTCCTTAAGTTGTTAAGTTGTTAAGTTTCTGTGATAGCAAGGTATTTTTTCCTGATTTTAACACTCAGAAGTAAAAAAAAATTGAATCAGAAAAGGGGCTAAATGAGATTATTGGTTCAAACTAGAATAGATGGGTTGATTCAGTGGGAATTCTTATTTTTTTCAGTAGAGTCTATTCTAGTTGGGAATAACCATTTCATTTAGTCCAAGATTCCTAATTTGAATGTCTTACCCATAATTCCTTTATGATTAATCAATACAAACACAGGTTGTTTCACTTATACTTTCAGATTTTCCCTTCAACTCTCTTGTTCATTTAACACAGTGGTTCCCAACCTTTGATCTTCCAGTTATTTATTTATTTATTTACAGTTCTTATATTCCGCCCTTCTCACCCCGCAGGGGACTCAGGGCGGATTACAGTGAACACATATATGGCAAACATTCAATGCCAGTTTGACAAATAACATTTAACAGACAATACACCGAGGCTATTTAACTTTTTTCTGGCCGCCAGGGGAGCTGCTGCTTTTCATCGTCGATCAACGACACCGATGAAGTTTTTCCGCATTCCACATTCCCTGGAGTTTTCTTTATGGCCTCATAAATTAGTTAAATTTAGCCTCCCACACAAGGTGGTACCTTATTTTTCCTACTTGACAGATGTAACTGTCTTTCGGGTTGCAAAGGTTGACAACGGGCTACACAATGGCTGGACACCCATTCCAGCCCAGGCTGGCTTCGAACTCATGACCTTTTGGTCAGAGTGATCTTTATGCAGCTGACACTCAGCCAGCTGCGCTAAATCCCAGCCATCTTACCAGCTGTTAAGAATTGTGGGAGCCAAAGTCCAAAACACCAGGAGGACCAAAGGTTGGGAACCACTGATCTAACCATTCCTGCTGTTTGCACTATGGCATGCTCAGAATCATATATATCTTGGTGTATTGGATCATAGTATTGGAGTAGATCCCAAAGATCTACTCTATCCAAAACCTTGTGGATAGAGGAAATCCACTTCCATAACACATCCCTTGTTTAAAAATCTTTAATGGAAGAGGCCTCGGCACCTTACATGGCCTCCTTTCCCATTCCTGAGTAGCCTGTACCTTTAGGAAGGACTTCCTGCTATTTCTGCATTTTTCTTCAGCATGTAATTTTAAACCTATTGGTTCAGGTTTTGCCCTGTGGAACACCAGAAAACAAATTAACTTCATAATCTATCTGCTAACCCTTCAAATATTTGAAGATGGGAGTCATATCACCTCTTAATCATCCCTTCTCCAGGCAAAATGTATCAAACAATTTCATCAGCGCGCTGCTGTGGCCTAGTCATAATTAATTCTGACTTTGCCTTGATTTTCAAATTAATTGGAACTGGAACTGGCCTGGCCCAGGCTTGGGCAGATTGTGACATCTACCTCTTGTCATTAATCTCCCAGCTCTTTTTGGCTATTCATTGCTTTCCTAAAAATGAAAGTTGAGCTTTTTGCTCTCATGGTTTGATGGTTAGCAGTCAGCCACTGATTTGCTGATTTGTCTCTCATCTGTGTATTAATTGAACCTTTTAAAAGTTCATACCTTCCAATGTTACAGACTTTTTTCTTATTTATTGCTCTCTATAAGGCACCTTAGGAATTGTGCTGTCTTGAAAGCCAGCTAAGAAAGGCATTAAATAAACAGAACTTAGGAAACTGCCCTTATATTGCACTTGCTGTCAATCTAGCCCAGTATTATTGCTGTTGATTGGCAGCATCTACCCAAGGTTTCAGACAAGATTTTTCAGTTTTGCTGGAGATCCCTGGTAAACTCTAGTGGTCTCTCATCCATAACAAACCTGAGCCCGGTAGGGCACGGTTTCCCAAACTGAATGTTTTTAGATTTATTCAGGTAGTATTTTATGTGCTTCTGATCTTCACTGTCATTTCCTTCTCTCTGATTATACTGTAATGATGCTGTTGTGGTGCATAAATGATCCAAAATCCACTTATAAAACCTTTCTTCCCTTCTTTTCCAAACCCTATCCCCAACTGCCTCATATCCTAAACTAGCTGAGCTTCATGGCAGAATGTAATACCCAGTCATTTTGTTTTTGTTGGATTTTGGTTGTAGACAAGCTCCATCCAAGCAGTGCTCCTCACTGATGGTAAAGCAATAGCAGAAGAGGACAAAATGAGAGTTTTGTTCCCAAATAAGAATCTACCCCCATTATAATTTCCTTCAGATCCAAAATGTCTAATATTGCAAAGAGTGAGAACTGAAAATTATATACATCTAGAACTTTCATCTAGAGCCCAGAGGGTGCTCACCAATGCTTCCTCTTCATCCTGGAAAGAAGTGATGAGTGGAGTGCCGCAGGGCTCTGTTCTGGGCCTGGTCCTGTTCAACATCTTTATTAATGACTTAGATGAAGGGTTAGAAGGCATGATTATCAAGTTTGCAGACAACACCAAATTAGGAGGGAGAGCCAATACTCCACAGGACAGGAGCAGAATTCAAAACGATCTTAACAGATTGGAGAGATGGGCCAAAACTAACAAAATGAAGTTCAACAGGGACAAATGCAAGATACTCCACTTAGGCAGAAAAAACGAAAGGCAAAAATACAGAATGGGGACACCTGGGTCAACAGCAGTACATGTGAAAAATATCTTGGAGTTCTTGTGGACAAGAAGTTAAACATGAGCAAACAATGTCATGCGGCAGCTTAAAAAGCCAATGGGATTTTGGCCTGCATAAATAGGAGCATAGTGTCTAGATCCAGGGAAGTCATGCTACCCCTCTATTCTGCCTTGGTCAGACCACACCTGGAATCACACTGTGTCCAATTCTGGGCACTGCAATTGAAGGGAGATGTTGACAAGCTGGAATGTATTCAGAGGAGGACAGCTAAAATGATCAAGGGCCTGGGGAAAAATTCCTATGAGGATCAGCTTAAAGAGCTGGGCATGTTTATCCTGCAGAAGAGAAGGGTGAGAGGAGACATGATAGCCATGATATGTGAGGGAAGTCATAGGGAAGAGGGAGCAAGGTTGTTTTCTGCTGTCTTGGAGACTAGGATGCAATGGCTTCAAATTGCAGGAAAGGAGATTCCACCTGAACATTAGGAAGAACTTCCTAACTGTGAGAGCCATTCAGCAGTGGAACGTTCTGCCCCAGAGTGCGGCGGAGGCTCCTTCTTTGGAGGCTTTTAAATGGAGGCTGGATGGCCATCTGTCAGGAGTGCTTTGAATGCAATTTTCCTGCTCCTTGGCAGGGGGTTGAACTGGGTGGCCTACAAGGTCTCTTCCAACTCTATGAGTCTATATTTATTGTGTTTGCACTCCCTTGATATCTTTGCCTTGCTCTTTTCTTTTGATGGCTAAGCCCAATACTCACAGGACTGGTATCAGTGGTTTCACTTGTCTATGTATCACAAAATAGGTCCTCTATAGGCATTTTCTAAGTCTTTCAACATGACTATAGTAATCTTGGCCTGGAAGTCTTTAATTTCATTAGAATTTGCTATGATCCATGGTTTTCTATATCCACTCAACATCTGAGAACATATATCCTATGGATATGGTGCTTGTACTGTATATCTAAATGCTGAGTTGACTTTTTAGGTAACTTTGATGCTTGAAATTTGGGGAGTGCAACACTTTTCATGGGCTGGCAGAATTCTTCTTTGGGGGGCAATGCCCTTACCCTTTCCTCCATAGGGCATCAACATGGCACCGAACTCCTACCCAGCCATCAATACTAAGGGGATGTTTGTAGGATTGTACTGTAAATCAAAGATTATCTTTTCTACGTGCACCATATGAAAACAAAAATTTAGTCACTCTCTTTTTTAATATCAGTCTAGCTATGCGCTTATTTTACATACGCTTCCATTCATTTTTCACTCATTTATATGGCTATGGCTATGTATTGACTTTCGTTCCAAGATATAATATAATTTGACAACCTTCAACAAGTCTGTTATTTTCCTGCCTTTCTTCCCTTACCCTTATTTTGACAGTTAAATTTGTGATTAATTATGAGTATGTTAATTTGAATGCTTGTGCCAAGTGTTAAATTGCAAATCAGCAGTAGAAAAATCTGTTAGTGAAGGAGCATTGTTTTCCTTCCTTTTATGGATTATAGCTATCCTGCCAATGATTAACAAATGTAGCAGCTTGTGGGTGTTTTCATATCTACATAGCTAGGATAGATCTGTTCCATAAAAAAAAATTACAAGGCTTAAAAGCAATGTAGTCCTTTTGTATTACAAAAACATTTTTATCTTTATACTGTCATTCAGTTTATCTCTTCATCCTTCCTTTTGCCCAGGTGATGAGGAGTTAGTTCAAGAGGTGCTCTTTGACGCTGTCGTGACAGCGCCCATGGAGGCCTACTGGACAACCTTGGCTCTCAACCTGTCTGAGTAAGTTTGTGTTTTAAGACTGAAGATGAATCTTACCAATTACACAATGCATTAGTAATTCTCAGGTTACATTGGTGAAGGAGTGGGAAATCTTTGGCCCTTCAGGGAGGTTTTGGATTATAATTCCCAGAAGCTGTTAGCATTAATAATAATATAATAATAATATACACAAACTTTATGTGTATACCACTCTGTCTCCCCCAGGGAACTCAGGGCGGTTTCCACATAAGCAAGCAACACAAAAAACATACAGAGTAGCCATTTAAAACATAGATGTAAAACTATTAACACAATCCTATATATTAAAAACCAATTCCAACATTCCAACCATCCCACAATTCCAACATTATTCTGTCATGCAAAATAAGCAGCTTGTAAGTTGTTTTTACATCTACATAGTTAGGATAGATCTGTGTCTTTTAAAAAATTACAAGCCTAAAAAGCAACATTGTCTTTTTGTATCACAAAACCATCTTTGACTTTATACTGTTATTTAGCTGTGCTGGCTGGAGATTTGGCCTAAAATTTATGGAAGGTCAAATGTCCCCAACCCTGGGATGGTCTAATCCGAAATAAAAACATGAATAAGATCCTGTACTTATTCTATTATTAGCCTATTGCAATCGGATAGAGATTCTGGAATTAGATACAGAGGATTTATGTTTTATTGATATTATTGTTTATGGAATTTTATGACATTTATATGCTTTTAACTGTTTATATTATTGTGGCATCGAATTGTGCCGGTTCTGTAAACCGCCCTTAGTCGCCCTTGGGCTGAGAAGGGCGGTATAGAAATATAGTAAATAAATATTATTAAGAAATTTTTAGAAATGCAACAACTACCCTGCTGGCAGAAGCTACTTTTGGGTCATGTAACATATATAACATCTGTTTATGGGGCCCCCTGTTGGCACTGCAGGTTAAACCACTGAGCTGCTGAACAAAAGGTCAGCAGTTTGAATCCGGGGAGCGGGGTGAACTCCCACTGTTAGGTCCAGCTTCTGTCAGCCTAGCAGTTCAAAAATATGCAAATGTGAGTAGATGAATAGATACCACTTCAGTGGGAAGGTAACGGTGCTCCATGCAGTGATGCTGGCCATGTGACCTTGGAGGCCTCTACGAATAACCCCGGCTATTTCGCTTAGAAATGGAGATGAGCACCATCTCTCAGAGTCGGACTCGACTAGATTTAATTCAAGGGGAAACCTCTACCTTTACTTTAACATCTATATTACATGAAGAATCATCCCAGACCTTAGGAAAATTCCCAGTCTTTGGTCTTCCAACTTTCTACTGTTGTCGAAGTGTACATTACTTAAAGAAAAATTAAATTTTTCACCCTTTACACATTAGTATCTACTCTACCACTGAGTTTGGGCTTTTGCCTTAACTGCATATCATTTGGCTGGAAATTGCAATAACCCTACTGACCCCTAACACTCTTTCTATCTCCAACTATTGTCCAATAGTGAGACTGAAGGGGGAGTGGAGATAGCTTTTATGGGAACTCGAGCTGGTCTCATGAGAAGTTGCCTCTATGTTGGCTCTGAGAAACTCTCTAACAGGTAAGTCCTCTAAATGTACATTTCTCTGTTGCCCTTCTTTATAGTTTAGATAGCTAAAGATGAGAATGAACTAGCTCTGGGTTAATTGTTCAACAGTGATACGATGTCACATTTGAAATACTTATGTAAGTTTTCATAAACACTTATTTCTGAAAGATTTTTTGAGAAAATGGTAAAGTAGGGCTTTCTATATTGTTTCATGATGCATAAAATCAGTAAACATAAGAATTGGTGGAAACCAGAGAAAAGAATTTTGGGCCTTCAGAAGTTTTGGAGTACAAAAACATCAGCCTTAGTTAGCAGGTAAGAGCTGATGGGGACTAACAACATCTGTAGGATGACATATTTGCAAACTCTGATAGACTGCAATAGAAGGCACTTATGGTTCTTCTGGAAAAAAGCAAAAACTCATTTTAGGACTGAACTAAAAAATATGTTTGTCAAATTTTCATCTAGGTGGTAAAAATGTGTTTGTCGTAGCATATGGCTGTTCTCACCAGTGTATATTGCATTTTGTGAGTGTTATTTTGTCATTGTTTTTAGGAAGATAAACATAAATTTAATTTGTAAGTATGATAGCTGAGGCATGTGTCTCCAGGAAACAGTGTTATGGAGTGGGAAATGAATTAATCACAGAAAACACATATTCCTATTAATGTCCAGTTTGACCTTCAGCCTTCCTTTTGAACCTGGTCAGTGCTTCATTGAATTCAGATCCCTATAACTATGGAACCATGGAGCGGTCTGCGGTTTCACTTCCTCATGCATGGGAAAACTCTCTTTAGGAATTTGCTAAATCCTCCAGGTTGTAGATCGTCAAAAATTCGAAGAGAGAATAACTCTCTATAAATTTCCACATCTTCCTGTACAGCTCTCTTGTATGTATGTTGCTTTTGCGGTATATGGATGTGTTAGAGTCTTTCCAATACACTGAATTTTTCTAAAGATTTTGAGCCTGAAGGGCTGCAATTCTGAGCACAGACAGATGTAGATAAAGGCATTTCTTAAAGGGAAAACATGGATGAAGAAAGGGCAGTGATTCCCTGGGGACAGGTAGCAGAAAATAGGCAGTGCCCTTGGTGAATATATTCAATGGAGCCTGCAGGAAGCTGAGTTTCTGTGTCAATGAGCATGTCTTCCAAGCAGGCTTTTCCTCTCCCTTTTTCAAATAATGCCTTGTTAAAGACAGGAAGGAAATAATTGGCAACCCGTTGGCTGGCTATTCAAACACTCATTCATGGAGTAAATGGATGCCTCCCACCTGCATAGTGAAACCTGTCAGTGCAGCAGTCTTTTTCTGGAGTAACTATATATCTCAGCTCGAATGTGATACTTGCTGTGGCTGCAGTATTCTCATCACCAGATCCCTTCCACTTACCTGTGGCAACATCTGTTAGTACATGCTCAATACCGACATCAGAAACAACATCCCTCAGGTAACAGACATTACTACAGCTGCTCTTGCATAAAATGACTGGACATTCTGGTCAGAACAAGAGAGTCCCACGTTGCATGTCGTGTCTTATCATTCAAACAGCTTTTGGTGCGCTGACAAACCATCTCAGTCAAAACATTTACAAAACATTTTGGGCAAGTCTGCTTAGCAGAATCACACAAGAAGACAGGCAGCGAACAATATGTATCTATCTGTAGTTAGTGTAGACAGAGTGCAAATCCAATCAACTGAGAGTTTGGTGTGAAAACTGCACCTGAACCAACGTGGCAATTTAGTTGTGTTTCTCTGCTACATGTATTTGAATGTTGTGTCAGCTTGATAGCTTTCCTTGCCTTCCTTTTGGGGAAATGTTTAAGCATGTTGCTGTGGAAATTTACACACATTATAAGCATTTCTACTCAGGTTGACTCAAGGAAGCAATTATTTATTTATTTATTTCCTATATTTATACCCTGCCCTTCTCACCACCAAGGGGGGACTCAGGGCGGCCTCATAAAAGCATCATACAGTGTCATTATCACAAAACAATCAACAGTACAATAAAAATATTAAAAATATTAAAACAGTAGTTAAAAACAATTGATTAACACATGCCTATTAAAAATCAAAATCTAGTCCGGATCGAATCATTGCCATAAGTTTTAAAATCTTCTTTCACTTGCTGCTCACTGATGGAACGCTTGGTCTCAAAGCCAGGATTGATTTTCCTTCTAAAAGACAAGAGGGAGGTGGCCACTCTGTTGCCTCTGGGGAGAGCGTTCCACAGGTAGGGGGCTACTGATGATAAGGCCCTGTCCCTCATTCCCACCAGTCGTGTTTGCGATGTCGGTGGGATTGAGAGCAGGGCCTCCCCAGATTATCTTAAGTTTCATGCTGGTTCATACCAGGAAATATGTTCGGACAAGTGGTCTGGGCCAAAACTGTTTAGGGCAGTGGTTCTCAACATGGTTTTAAGCCTACAACTCCCAGAAAACCCAGTCAAATTACCAGCTGTTAGGATTTCTGGGAGCTGAAGGATAAAAATATCTGGGGACCCCAGGTTAAGAACCACTGGTTTAGGGCTTTAAATGCAACTTGCAACCTAAAGCAATGGCTTTAGGTTGAAAGACCTAAACAGGGCATTTGATGACCAGGGTCCTAGGTTTTATTTTATTTCATATCAAAAGCATTGCATAAATTAGTATCAAACAGATAAAAATAGAAGGAGCACAAGCGGCTAAATATCTTTTGACCAAAAACAGGCAACAGCAATGGCATTGTCTGTAGCCTCCGAACGTTAAGATGAGTGGTGGTTCTCATGAAGCCCTAGGTGATCTCTCATTCTTAGGGTCACTGGAAGTCAAAGTTGACTTGCTGTCAAATAATAACAAATAATAACACACAGCTTGCCTAACAGAGTACATCCCACAGTAGCTACATTTCAGACAGCTTGCATGCTACTCTGTGTGTGTGTGCATGTGTAGTGGTTTCAATTCCAACGTGTTGCACGTGAGCAATCCGGTTTGTTTGGTGTGGGCAACAGCTCCACCTAGTGAGGGAAAAATTACACTCCGGACCTTTGCCTGAGGGCTTAGGGATTCTTGTACAGTGAGGCATGCCACCTCTAATATTCAAAAGAGAAATAGGTACAGTAATTTATATATTTTTTAAAGAACGAATTAGATTTGCTGCTTTCTGAAGAAGATTTATTTTTAGTCTGATTGACTTGCTTGCTGGTTAGATACAATCTCAATGGAGGCTTAAAAGCGGCTGTACCAGTAATAAGTAGAGAACAACAGACCTCATGCAGCAATGCAGAAACTCATCTGTTTCTGCATACATTATCTGATGCAAAACAAATATGCAGCAGCAGTATGCAAATGTCACCATGCGCTTATGTCTTCCTCCTGAAGGGTATAGTTGATTGCTCACTGCGGCTCTTTCCAGTCTCTAGATTAGGGCAATTTGCTATGTTTACGGTCCTCAGAGAAAAACAACTTGCAAGGATGCAGGTGTAACTGTAGCAAGACCCTCCTGATCCTGTGTAGCAATTCCAATAGTCTTTTCATTTATGTATACACAAGATGAATTATATTTGCTCTTTATGTTGGCAAATGTCTAATTGACAAACACTTAGTAGCATTCAGCTCAAAGCTTTAATCTTCTCCCTTTCTGTCCCTGAAGGACAGGATTCTGGCATGGAGTTATTATTGTAGCATAATTAATGGGAACATCTCTTACACAAGGCCTCGGTTGATGAAAGCAAGTCGCTGAGCTTTTCAGGAAGAGACAAGGAGCCCGTCAAATTTAGCCATGACTAAATTCTGCCACATTCTTCAGTGGGATTTAAGCATGACTAACTTCAGCTGGATCAGCCCCGAAAAGTCAATGGCTCTTGAATTAAAATGGATTCCTGCATTCATACATCAATTCAATTGATTTTATTAGCAGGGAAATTGTGCTGGAGACTGAAGGCTTTTCTACCAACAGAAGGTGACCTAATGTTTCTCTTAACTCTAGTAGTATTTGTAAAAACATTTCTTCATACCGTCATCCCTCCATATCCACGGATTTAACCATCTATGGGTTAAAAGTAGCCTCCCTACCACCCAAAAATGCCAAAGAGCAAACCACTGTTTGCCATTTTATATAAGGAAGAGCATTTTACTTTGCCGTTTTACTATGCCTCTGGCAGCAAAATATCTTTGGGTGGCCCTACTCCATTAGCAAACATCTCATCTGGATATATAGAATGTGAAATGCATTTGCCATAGTGATAGTAGGCAATCATTTCTATGAGATGGGCAACTAGAACAAGCATAGGCAAACTTTCTAACTTATGGGTGGCATGGTGGGCCAGAGTGGGGTGTGCAGGCCAGGAGGGAAGTGGTTCTTCCCAAGTCCCCTCCCTGCCCTTTCCTCCCATTCCTCTTCTCTTTCGGAGGCAGAAAGTGAAAGAAAGACATGAAACGTTTGGATCCCAAAGGGGTTAGCCTTGTTCAGGATGAGATGGTAGATAGGAGAGAAAAGGTGTATTCATTAGACCCTGTATTGCCTGATAGAGAATCCTAGAATCCTAGAACTAGAAGAGACACCCAAGGGCCATTCAGTCCAACCCCCTGCCATGCAAGAAGGCACAATCAAATCACTCCTGATAGACTTCCTCTGCAGAAAAGGCTCCAGAGGAGACTTCACCACTCTCCCAGGCAGCCTACGCCACTCTCTAACAGCTCTTACACTCAGGAAGTTCTTCTTAATCTCTTTCCCTGTCATTTGAACCCATTGGTACCTTGGGCCTGGTCTCTAGAGCAGCAGAAAATTGGTTTCCCTCCCCATCAATGGGACACCCTTTTAAATCTTGGTTCTCATGTTCCCTCTCTACCTTCTCTTCTCCCAGCTAAACATTCCTCAGGAGGAAAGAAGGAAGGAAAAAGAGAAGGGAGGGTGGGAGAGAAGGATGGAAGGAAAGAGTGGAAGGGAATGGAGGAAAAGGAGGGAGGGATGAGGGAAAGAAAATGAAGGAAAGACAAAAGGGAAGGGAAGAAGGAGAAAGAGAGAGGGTGAA